GACCTAACAGCTGCCTTCGACACTGTGGACCATAGCATCCTGTTGTCACGGCTTGAACAGTCCGCAGGCATCACAGGCTCTGCCCTTGCATGGTTCAGGTCTTACCTGACAGACCGCAGTTTTTCAGTGCAGCTAGGTGCCTTCTCCTCTGCAAAGGCCCCTCTTACTTGTGGGGTTCCCCAAGGCTCTATCCTGGGCCCCATCCTATTTTTATTGTATATACTGCCCCTAGGCTCAATCCTCACAAAACGTAACATTCCCTTCCACTGCTACGCTGACGATGTTCAGATTTATCTGCCTCTCAAAGGAAATGACAAACACTCACTACAGCAGTTGATGGATTGCCTGACAGAAATGAAGTCCTGGCTGAGCAGACATTTTCTTAACCTTAACGAGAGCAAGACTGAGGTCATCTTTTTTGGATCCCAACCTCCAGCCTCTTCTGTTGACATTCTGGGTCCTCTTAAAACAAACATCCTCCCCTCTGTCATGAATCTTGGAGTGACTTTTACTAACACTTTTAAATTTGACAAGCAGGTCAGCAGCGTAGTGAAATCCTGCTTTTTTAAATTAAGAGTATTGGCCAAAACCAAGTCTTTTTTATCTTTTAAAGACCTGGAGAGGGTTATCAACGCCTTTGTGACCTCGAGACTCGATTATTGCAACGCTCTATACCTGGGTATGGACCAGGCCTCAATTAAACGCCTGCAGCTAGTGCAGAACGCAGCGGCACGTCTCCTCACTGGCCACAAAAAGCGTGACCACATCACCCCAATTCTGGCCTCACTACACTGGCTTCCAATTCTGTTCCGAATTGATTTTAAATCCTTTTATTTGTTTTTAAAGCACTAAATGGGCTGGCTCCGGCCTATATAGCTGAACTCCTCCAGCGCTACACCCCAGGCAGAGCCTTAAGATCTGCTGACCAGCTGCTACTGGTAGTGCCTAAAACCAGGCTAAAAACCAGAGGGCACCGAGCCTTCGCGGCGGCTGGCCCCAGGCTCTGGAACACTCTGCCCCTCCATGTGCGGTCGGCCCAGACCCTAGGGGTTTTTAAATCTAAACTAAAAACTCACTTATTCACCCTGGCCTTCTAATCAGAGCGGAGCACGACTCATGACACTTCCCTGTGTTTGATTTGTATTAGGGCCGGGACTCGATTAAAAAAATTAATCTAATTAATTAGAGGCTTTGTAATTAATTAATCGAAATTAATCGCATTTTTAATCACATGTAAATATTTGACCTGAGAACAGTGAGAAGCAATTTTTTTCACATGGATTTTAGTATACCATTAGGCGCATTCACACCGCAGTACTTTTCCCACAAAGGTTCATGAGAATTTAGTTCATGAGAACTCTTTGAACCTGGGGGTGGATTAGGCAAATGAAGCCGCTGACGTCACTTCTTCTTCTGCTTTTGGTTTACTGGTAGGCCGCAAACCACTTCGGCGTATACTGCCGCCCAAAGTCCCCGGCCGGAAGTCCCCGGAGTTGGGGACTGGCTTCAGTAGAAGCTGCTGGGACTCCCAGCCTTCCGAGTAAATCGCCAGAACGCCGACACCTCCTCATCTCCACCGCTCCCATGTTTTATTTTGTGTTGCCATAAGTTAGTCTCTCTGCGTTTCTGCGCTGGGCTAATGCTAATAATGCTAATGCGAGGATAATAAAATGGCGGCTTCACAACACTTTTTGGGAGTTTTACGGGGCGTGGTTTGCAATCCGCCCAGCCAATCAGAAATATAGCTCTTTTCTCACAAGAGAGCCGCACGAAAGTCCCTGCTCTCTAGCAGCTCTCTGCTCTCTAGCAGGGACTTTCGTGGGGGTAAAAAGGTTCTCATGAACTAATTTTAGTACCGGCTCTTTTTGGTGTGAACGCGATAAAAGAGGCTAACGTCCACGCTAGCTTCCACGTTAGCTGCTATATGTTTTGCATTGAGGTGATACTTGAGGCTTGATGTGCTGCGGTGATATGCGAATTCCTTTTTGCATAATTTGCACACAACTGTGCTCTTATCGACGCTTCCATCCGTCCGTTTTTTAAAACAACATTTCCCACTGTTGTTCACTGTGGTTTGTTGTTGTCTGAAGTCATGAACGTTAGTTGGTGCTCCAGTATAATCGGTACGCCTGAAACTCATCCAGTGAGAAACGTTCCGCGGTGCAAAAATAAGTGCGATTAAAATGCGTTAATTTTTTTAACGCGTTAATTTTTGTGTGATTAATTAATCTTAATTAACGCGTTAAAGTCCCGGCCCTAATTTTTATATTTGATGTTGTAATTTATTGTCTTCTGTTTACATCGGTAGGAATGTGTTATTTATTATCTGCATACATGTGCAGCACTTTGGCTCGACTGAAAATCGTTTTTAAATGTGCTATAGAAATAAAATTTGATTTGATTTGATTTGATTTCTGCATGTAAACGGTCTGCAGAGTCACAAACCCTCAAAGTGCACCCTGTAGCGAGTACAACTCTAACACAGAGAAGACCTGTCTGTGCTGCCCCAGAACGCCTCGTTGGACATTTCTCTTTTTCCATTGTTTTCTTCCTGGGTACTGTGACGTGCCCATACCCAAATGGACCCATTGGTCCAAATGGGGGTGCTAGTGGCGCGCTTACACTGTAGGTGTGCCGCGTTTGGGGGTGCAGGTGCTATTGGAGCCTTGCAGATGGGGGTGCTGCATCCCCCCTCAGCACCCCCACAGGAAATGGCCATGACATGAGACCATTAAAGTGTCAGAAGGACTACAGTTGTGTTGATTGGACAACAGTTGTTTAAAAGCAACTACAGTGGCGGTCCTAGGCCAAAGGCTACACCAATTTGTTTCGAGGCACAGATCAACACCTGTCCAAGCAGAAGAATGGGGAAAGAATGTGGAAAGAAAGTGCCCTGTACCAGCCTTTACCTGATTTATAAATCAAGAGACAATATAAAAACAAGAGAACCCAAAGACAGTGAAGGAGGGACGGACACTGTTCCTGCTCAGGGTGATCTGTCATGCCCCGGGGCCCTGCAGGGACAGTAGAACAAAAGCTGCCCCCCTGCTCCCTTCTTACTTTCTTTCCACATTCTTCTGTTTGGACAGGTGTTAATCTGTGCCTGGAAACAAATTGGCGGAGCCTTTGGCCGAGGACCGCCACTGTAGTTGCTTTTACACAACTGTTGTCCAATCGACACAACTGTATTCCAAAAAGAAAGGTAGCATCAACTACTGTCAGAGGCAACAAAAAAAAATAGCTGGCAAGCGGAAGTATACTTTGTGGAAGTCCTGTCACATGACAATCTGATCATACGTCATGTTGTTTTGCATGTCCACACTGACATTTAAGACCAGAGTTCAATGATATCCACTTTGGAGAGCATTTGAAAGAAGCTGTTCCTGTAACGTAATCCCAAAAGCTTTGCAAGTTGAATTTATACTTCAATGTTTTCGTGGTGAGAAGAATAGTTGTTGTTTTTTGGATAACACTGTAAGTTCATAGGGAGGTCTTTCTAATCTTTTTCTTTCAACACAAAATGAAGTGAAGTCCATAAAATCACTCAATGTTCAGCTCTCAACATCTAAAACCCATTGAAAGAGTTCTTAAAATAAAAATGTGTTGTGTGGTCGATGACTGCTTACAGGAGACAAAAGCATAAGCATTGGCTTCAGAAAACCTGGGGCAATGGCTATAAACTATTTAATAATGAGACATATTAATTGGAGCAAATTGGAAACCTGAAGAGCCTCTTTTCATCCTGTAACGTTTACTCGTTCCTTTAAACGTGAAACAGCAGTAATATTTAAGTGTCTGGTTTTTTGTTGTAGTTTTTTTCCGTTAATTCTTGTTTGTTGAATTCTCTTGCACTCCCCTATAAATATGAATTCATTGCATTAGACTACTGGATACATATACAAATTATATAAAAACAGTTAGAGTGAGAGCTAGCAATGTTTCAGTTGAATGGAGCTGATATAAGTGGGGGGCCTTGAAGAGAGAAAAGAGCAGCAGAGATTTAACAGAGACTAACAGGCATCCCATTCACAGAGCTGGGTTTACTGCTTCTAAAAGATAGTATTGTCTGCATTTGGGCTACACACACACACACACACACACACACACACACACACACACACACACACACACATACACACACTCTCACACACACACACACACACACACACACACACACACACACACACACACACAAGAGCTCAAGGCTTTGCCTACACTGTGTTATTAGTGCGCCTCTCTTACCTGCCCAGGCCGTTTTAAATCAGACTCCATAATTATACTGTAAGTCTCGCTCAAAGGCACATAAAAGCAAACATTATGAAGTCATTCAAACCATTTTTTCTATGAAAAAAAGACAAAAGTATCTTCAACCTCTTAATACATGTCCAAAATACTATATTTAACCTGGGACAGCAAAGTTTAGATGAGCTGTATGGATGGAAGAGCTGTAAATGTAAGCCATAGTTGTCAGAGATAAAGTAGGCTACACTAAATAGTTTTGAACTGGTGTTATTGTTGTTTAATCTACAGTAATAGCTTGGTCTATACATTAGGTAGGCTAAATAAAATGTCAGAAAATTGTTCATAGAAAAAAAGTGACATCTTCAAATGACCAATCACAGCCAACCTAATATTAGACACATTACCAAAAAAAATGAACACATATGAACATTTTCACATCATGTTCTGTTGTTTTAACTAATAAAAAACGGCACTAAGTTCCAGCTGTGGTTTTAATGGACATTAAAACAAAGAATACAGCCACACTCAATGTAGGCTATTATTTGCTTTTTAAAACTATGGTAGGCCTAGGATATATTTCACTTTGTTTTTTGCACCTGTCAGACTTCAGTCACATTTTTCAGGTAAAGTAACGACCGAGAAAGCGTAGCTGCAGGCCGCGCGCTGATGCAGACAGGAGCCCGCTCTCAGAGCAGAGGGACGGCCTGGAGCCAGCGTTTATTGGAGGCAGCAGTAAAGTCATTCAATATTACACATACCTTCGAAATCTGATAAAATCCCTTCGAGGTGGTCGTTCACGGAGAGTTCCGACATGCTGACTGCGGCTCCGTGATGGCGCTCCGAGCCAGAGGAGAAACCTGAAGAATAAACCGTGTATCCTCCGTGGAAGACTTCCGCGCTGTGTGATGCTGAGCGGGGTCCGGGCTCCTCTGGCCGGGCACACTGCAGGAGGCTCGGTGTGTCGGAGGCCCAGCCCCCTGCTTGCTGAGGCTCTGCCCCGCAGCAGGACCCGGGGGACGGGGGCGGAGCTGCGAACACCTGGAAAATATCCGAGCTCCATCAGGTTTCTCCTTCCTCTGCTGTCCTCTACAAATCGCCAGAAAATGGCTCCATTGCGGAGATAGGGGTCGCCAGTCTCTGGCACTATTATTTTGGGGGTCGCGGGCTGAACAGTTTGGGAACCCCTGCCCTACTTGACCACCAGATTATGCCATGGTTATGGTGATACATTATCTTTCAGAAGTTAAGAAATAACATCTGATCCTTTTACAACAAACACTATGCTCTTTGATTAATCCTTTTTTGTATATGTAACTGTGGGAAGAAAGTCACTTTTTTTGTGTCCTGATTATGTAGTGACTACTTGTAATCCATTACTCCCCAAACTTGTATAGGCTACCTGCACTGAGATCTATTCCATGTATTGTGTTTTATAGACAGTGTGATGCATCAATGCTCCATATCCTACTGTGAATGATAAATATAGGAATAGTGTAATCTTATATCAAAAACTTCATTTGAATAGCCTTTGTTTTCCTAATTTGAAATGAATCTTCAGTTTAAGATCATAAACACCGTGAGTAGAGCAATACCTTCTATTGGTTCTTAAATGCACATCAAATCTTTCAGATGTTCTGGTCACTGTGAAAAGTTGGGACCAAAGTAACACTTGTTAGATACAAATCGTTTTAAAGAAAACATTACAGAATTAGTTGTTGTTGTGATTACCTACTCATGTGTGTTTTATCGATACCACGTGCTGAAGAAACACAGCTGCAACAATTGTCCTAACATATGAAAAACTGGACGAAAGAAAAACCTTGATGAATTGTGCCCACTGATATATCCTAAAAGTTACACTTTTGCCTTTTTGGCCTGAGGTTGGAAATTAGTTGAATTTCAGCTTCAGGGTGATTTTTATAGATAGTTTATATTAACATTCCTCACAATTAGAATACACCTAATCATCTGATGGTTGAACAGGTCAAAATGTTTTTAATGTCAATACAACTCAAAGTGGGCTAATTTATCATTCTTCCATGTGACACACATGAGCAAAGCTCAAGTGTTTTTGTTAAACATTCCTTCCAACACACACACACGCACGCACACACATACACGCACACACACACACACACACACACACACACACACACACACACACACACACACACACACACACACACACACACACACACACCAGCCTCTGTGCAGATCATAAAAAGCCACTGGCATTAATCCTCTGTGCTTCAGAGCCACTGAGAGCCCCCCGACCCCCCATCCAGTCCTAACAGCAGTGTGTGTGTTTCAGTGGTGGCTGTGGGAATTCAGTCACATGGGTTTCTCTCTCTCTCTCTCTCTCTCTGTTTCCTGTGATGTCTTTGATAGGTCCACTCCAGACGATGCATTATGGGCCATTCTACCGAATTGGACCAAAGTCAGGTTAGAAATGTTTTGAAATTTAGTATGTTTTTTTCCCAAAACTTTGTCCATATATATTTTGTACCATATATATGTTGACAGAGTCACATGTATAGCAATAAACTGGTCATGACGATGAGGTCTTCTTTAGCCTTAACTGGCGTGGTTTATTTTCATATGTGCATTGCACCACTTGACCTGCTCTCCATGAGAGCTAGAGAGAGAGAGCTAGAAGGGGAGGGAACAATCCCTTATATCTGATACCTGACGTCAGCTACAATAGCTGCGCCTCCTTACGCCTATCGCGCCCTCTTACTGTGGAACAGTTATAGTGCAGTTACATGCAGACATATTAATACTTACACTTAACACTCCCACTTATGAATGACATGTATACTGTACAACTTTTCCAAGAAAAATAACAGTTCAAAACATCAAAAGAACATGGCAGTCAATATTACATAATAGGCAATATTTTACACACCGAACATGACCCCTGCACATTTTTTCAATTTCAGTTTGGAGACAGGCTTGGTCATAGCATCTGAAACCATGTCATCTGTGGGACAGTAAACCAGTGTCATCTTTTCTTCTCTGATGACAGATCTAATGAAGTGATATTTTATATCCACATGTTTACACCTCTGTCGGCACACAGGGTTTCTGGCAAGTGCAATGGTTCCCTGGTTGTCTTCATAAACAACAGTTTTCTTATATACATAGGTATCCATTCCTTCGAGCAGTTGTTCCAGATAAATACATTCCTGTATTGTCAAGGCTAGAGCCATATATTCGGCTTCACAAGTTGATAGTGCCACTGTGGGCTGTTTTCTTTGTTTTCCATGAAACCAGTGAGCTGTCTGTACCCTCACACAATACCCTGTGGTACTTCTCCTGTCTGTGGCGTCTGCCGCCCAATCTGCGTCACTATAGGCTTGAAGCCCTAAGCCCTCGCTGCTCTTCCTGTAACAAAGCTGTTTATCTGCTGTACCTTTAAGATAACGGAAAACATGTTTTGCTGTAATCCAGTGCTCTTCTGTGGGATCACCAAAATGCTGTGATAACTTACTCACAACAAAACATAGGTCAGGGCGAGTACATGTTGTCAAATAAATGAGGCTGCCTACAGCTTCTCTATACATTTTTTCATCCGTCAATTTTTGTGCATCCTCATTGTAGTCTAGCTTTCCCTAGTTCTACACTCCTGCATGTCAAAACGATTCAGGATCTTTTCCACATATCTCTTCTGGGATATTTTTACACAACTGGCAGACTGTTCGAAGTCCATGCCTAGAAAATGTTTTAACCTGCCCAGGTCCTTCATCTTGAATCTGGTGGAGAGTATACCTTTCACCTGCTCTAGGTTTCTAGTGTTGTCTGCTGCGATGATCAAATCATCCACCCAAATCACAATTATCACTTTTCCTGACTCTTTTGACTCCTTTGTGTAAACACAGGGGTCTACTGGGTTCTGTATGAAGTGGTCTTCAATTAGACATGCATGAAGCATCTCGTTCCAATTTCGCCCAGACTGTTTCAGGCCGTAAATGGATTTTTCTAGCTTGCACACTAGCTTCTCTCCTTTCTTCTCGTAACCTTCAGGTTGTTCCATATATATGTCCCTATCAATGGGTGCGTGCAGGTAGGCTGTCTTCACATCCATCTGGTGTAAAATCAAGTCTTCTTCGGCTGCCTTCTGCATAACTACCCGTACACTGGTCAGATTAGCTGTAGGGGAGAATGTCTCACCGTAGTCTATTCCTTCCCTCTGACTGTAGCCTTTAGCTACAAACCTGGCCTTGTACCTGTCGTGCCCTTCAATACCCTCCTTGATTGAGTACACCCACTTGCCTCCCACTGTCTGTCTACCCTCGGGTAACTTTGTTAGAGTAAAAGTATGATTGTCCTCCAGAGACCTCATCTCCTCATCCATCGCTCTCTCCCATTTTCCCGACTCAGGGGATATCATGGCCTCTTTAAAGGTCTGAGGTACACCACTCACTACTCTGTAGCAGTAATCTATGCTGGTAAGTGTACTGTCATCCTCGTCACTTTCTCTCTGGGCATAGTCTTTCAGATACTTTGGGGGTTTATGTTCCCGGGAGGGATATCTCCCACTGCATGAGGCACGTGACGTTACCCTAGGGTGCTTCTCGCCATCATCCTCCGGTGGCTGTTGACCGTCTGTCTGCATGTCTGTGCTCAGTACACTAGGCTGTGGCGTCTCTCTTTTCTCACACCCTATTCTGGAGTCCAGCTCTGGCTCCTGTGTCTGTGTCTCGTTCTCACATGTTGTCTTTGTGACAAACTTTACTAACCTGTGCTTTTGCACTTTCCCCTTACCGGGATAATAGACTAGAAAAGCGGGGCTGCCCTTGTCATGCCCTACAAAAAGTCCTTTCTCACACCTGGACTCGAGTTTTCCTCTGTCCTGTTGGTAAGCATAACACACTGACCCAAACTTGTGCATCCTGGCTAGATCACACCTTTTTCCTGTCAGTGCTGTATATGGGGTGGTGCCCGTGTGCTTGTTAAAACACCGATTTCTGGTGTAAGCTGCTTCTTGGACCGCATAATGCCATAGACTCTTAGGTAAGTTACCGTCTATTAGCTTACACCTAGCCATTTCGAAAAGAGTGCGCCCTTCCCTCTCAGCTATCCCGTTCTGGTGCGGGGAGTAAGGACAGGACGTCTCGTGTCTGATCTTGCTCCTTCTCAGCAGTGACTGAAACTCTCTATTTGTAAACTCTGTTCCGTTGTCGGACCTCAGGCATTTTACGCTGCCATACGGAGCTACATCTGCAAGGAATTTCTCTGTGGCCTGAAGTGCGTCACTCTTTGCTTTGAGAAAGTAAACAAACACTGCCCCATCTGTGAAAGACTGCATATATTTAAAGCCACCTATGGACTCATTATTTACTGGACCGGCTAGATCTGTGTTAACTAGCTCAAGTGGTGTCTTTACTTTTTCTGTGGGACCTCTGTTCCTTGTTTGAGTGAACTTTCCCTTTATACACACATCACATTCTTTGTTAGGTCTATGCTTTTCACCGTTAATGTGCATGCCTACTGTTACCGCCTGCAGCTTCAGTATATCCTCGTAATTACAATGACCTATGATCTCATGCCATGTCTGAATATCATGACTGACATTACACACATCATTTTCATTACATTCTGTTTGTAGATAATACATTCTCTTGTACACCTCAATGTTAAATCTCGTACCGTCAGGCTCCACAAGAACATCGTTACCTTCATTGAAGAACACCTTGGCACCATTTGCAGTAGCAGATTTTACAGAAAATAGTTCTTGGGGGAACGAGGGTATGTAGAGGGCGTTCTTCAACGTCACTGTACACCGGCGCCCCTCACTGTCTATGAGGCATACCTGTGCGTCTCCTCTCCCGTGCGCCAACCCGAAAGTGCGCTTCCCGTCTGCCAGCTCCATGCTGTGTCTCTCCGGCTCAAAGGTGCTGTCAAAGTTCTTGAATCGGTTCCTGTTGTTGATAATGTGGGACGACGCACCTGTGTCCACGATCAGTCCCTTCCTTTGGGCCTGCTGCTGCTGCGACCGGCTGGCGTATGCTGTCTGCGCCCCGAAGGTGAAGTCCTCTCTTCCCGCTG